GCATTAAGAACCAAAAAGTCACCAAATCCAAGAGGAGTCAAAAGCTTCCACTACCATGTTGGAGAAAATGTTTTTGTGATTGTGTGAAGTAAAATTAACACAAGGATCACTTGTTGCTTGCTAATTTGAAGATCCTTTACTTAATCAAGAAATTAGCCAACTAATCACCACAAACACATTTAAACTCATGAATAAAAACATACAAGCAATGATAAGATGTTAAAACACAAAACATTTTCATAAAGATTCAAACACAAATTCATGGATTCTTCAATATTCAACAAAAGTTCAAAAGATTCAACAAAAGTCAACCAAGATTTGTTTAGCCAAGCATGGCTAAACTCAAGAAAACAAAGTTAGATAAGATTGTACCAAACATTTGACAAGAATCAAGAGATGAAATGGTGAAGTTCTTGAGGGTTCTTGGCCTTCAAAATGCTCCCAAACTCCAGAGAGAATGCCTCCAAATCGGATGTAAAAGATTAGGCTAAAGAGGCACACCAACCTTCCCAATATAGAGCTTCAAGCAAAATCCCGAATTTGCCCCTGCAGGAATCCACGCGGGCCGCGAGGAAATCTTACGCGGGCCGCGTGACTATGACGGAGTTTTGGGCTTCTTCAAGTCTTGGGCCCCACAACTATTCCATTGGCCCAGTTTGAGTCTGATCAGCTTCTAGCCCATTTTTCTTCAAGTTCTCTTCAATTTGAGCCCAATTTGACTTTTCCAAATCCTCTAAAGCTCTCGTAATCGCCTGATCATCAATCTCCGCATACTCGAAAATTCTCCCGCATCTTGCAAATTTAAAGTTTAATTCTTCCAAGCCTTCAAGTAATTGACAAGCCCACTTCATGCATCATCTCCATAGCCATCAAGCCCAAAATTCTCGTTGTCCTCCAAGTCCAATCGTCTCCCAAAAATCCCGCTCCGCTAGTCTCCAAAAAGCTACAATAATGCTCAAGAAACTAGAAAGTACCCGAAATGGTCATAAAATAACAAAAAGGAAAATATGCATGGAAATTAACTAAAATGCGAATGAAATGTGCTAAAATAAACTATAAAAAGAAGTAAATAAAATGAAGCTATTAGTCATCATTGGAGCTCCTTGAGCATTAGGAGTTCCATTAGGCTTTGGTGGTTGGGAACCTTCACCAGTAGTCATGCCACAAAAGGAAGCAAACGTAAAACTGTTAAACACTTAAAGACGATTTTTGAAACAGATTCTGCAAGTGTTATGGAGAGAAAAAAAATTCGTTTTTATAAACACTTAAAGACGAATCAGAAACAATTTTTTTTCCAAGTTCGTTTCGCACAAACGATTTGTTTTAATACTGTTAGGAAAATATAACCAAAAATTATACGAAAGAACAAAACCATAAAATCCTTGACTGAGGGTTGTGTTTAACACAATTTCCTTAAAACAAATTCGCCCTATATGGGTGTTTGTTTCCCAGGATACAACAGTAGAAAACAATTCTTCTAGATTGCCTGAACTGTCACTTGGCCTGGATTATACCTTGTTGCAGCAAGAGAGAAGAGATGAAGCAAAAGTGTAAGATAGGAAGAGAGTGATTTCGTTTCATCCGGTGTGTCGAATCAGTCACATAGACATTGTATATATATACTACCCAATGTAACCGATGCAATTAAGACGAAATCGTAACTGTCACAATTAAATAAGAAAATTAACCAAGAAATCAAAACCGAAATCTATGATTAATTGCTCTCAATTCGTTTTTGTAACTGTTAACCAAAAGGAAAAAATGCAAAAAAGATCCTTGAACTTTTCTGGTCGACCGTTGGTGCATTCGTTCCCGCACACAAGTTTAGTGGCCCGAAGCCAATTTGGCTCGCTTGTGCATCCCACCCTGCGTGCGCGCGCAAGAGAGAGCCTTGGTTCTAATAAGTCTTACAAAGGTAGCTAGTCTTTGTAGTTATAAACCAATTTCATTTTCATTCTCCCACCAATGTGGGATGAGTTTTAAACCCACTTAACTCTTTTATTTTCTCTTCCAATTGCCCTACTTTGACAAGTAATTTCTCATTCTTTTTTAATCCGTTTTGGACGTGTGATATATCGAAACGTAGATATCACAGAGGAGAACACGAATATATAATCAATAACTCGTTTTGATTATATTTATAGTCCAAAATTGTGCTCAAAAATGGAGAAAATCCATTTTTGGAAATTAATTTTCCAACATGCTTTCCATGATGATAGTTTGGCCTGAAATTTCTCGATAATTGGCTGCCAATGTTTTTTGAGGAGCATATTGGCTCCGACAGGAACCCCCAGATACGTAAATGGAAAAGTACTCTTTGAACATCCAAGGATTTGAGCCATATTTTCCAACTCCACATCTGAAGTGCTAATACCAAACAATATAGATTTGTGAAAATTTATCTTTAATCCCGAACATATTTGGAAACATTTAAGAATGCGAGAAAGGTTCTTAATGCTCCCCCTATCCCATATTCCTGTAAATATAGCATCATCGACATATAGAAAATGCGAGATCCTGGGTCCGTCATTTGGAAGCCGGATTCCCTGAATTAAAGACTTTTCACAGGCGCCGGTAATTGCCACATGGAGGCCCTCCATAGCTAGGATAAAAAGAAGAGGTGATAGCGGATCACCCTGCCTCTCTCCTCTAGTGATAGGAAACTCGTCTGTGGGTGATCCATTTACTAACACCGATGCTCTTGAACTCGATAGGCATCCCTGGATCCATTTGCGCCATTTCATACCAAATTTCATTTGTTCCATTATCGAATCCAAATACCCCCAATTTACTGTGTCGAATGCCTTTTCAAAGTCCACCTTAAATAGGAAAGTCTTATTCTTGGATTTCTTCGCCCATGTGCATATTTCATTCATTACAAGAGGACCGTCAAGGATGTTTCTGCCACTGATGTATGCTAATTGAACCTCATTCACAACTGTGCCAATGACACTCTTCAATTGATTGGCAAGAATTTTGGCGATTATCTTGTAAATACAACCAATAAGACTTATCGGTCGATAGTCACCCAATGTTATAGGATCTTTTGTTTTCGGGACAAGAGTTATGAAAGAAGAGTTGCAGCCTTGAGATATAACACTTGTGGTTTCAAAGTGCTTGATGTATCGAATGATGTCATCTTTCATAATGCACCATTTCTTTTTTAAGAGTTTAAACGTATAACCGTCAGGGCCTGGGGCTTTCTCGGAACCACACCCCCACACAGCCGGTTTAATTTCTTCCAACGTGAAGGAGGTTTCCAATAAGGAGCTTTGATCAGGTGGGAGCCATTTGAATAATGGGTTGATCAATTTTGGTCTGTTGGGACATGGTTCATGGAACTTTTTGCTGAAAAATTCAAAGGCTTCTTTCTTGATTGATTATGGATCCGAGTGCCATGATCCATTTATATTCAGACCATGGATCCAACTTTTCCTTTGTTTGTTTTTCAGCATCCCGTGATAAAATCGAGTGTTTTCGTCACCATCACACAACCAGTTGACCTTTGCCTTCTGTTTTAGGTCTAGTTTGAATTTATGTTCAAGTTAACTGATTTTCAATAACGCCTCCCTCCGACTGTTATTCTCTGTAACTGACAATGCACGAGACTCAGCTGCAATTTCTAATTCATCCACCTTTTCATGTAATGCTTTGATTGCACAAGATTCTTGTTGTGTTACCGATGCTCTCCATTTCTTGAGTATTTCTTTCAAGTATTTGAGTTTCCCCAACAGGTATCTATCTGGTGCACCATACCCTTGAAATTCTTTCCAAGTGTAGTCAAACAACTCGTTGAAATCATTATTTTACATCCATGAGTTGAAGAAACGAAAAGGAGGTGGGCCGTAGTCCAAGTTAGACTGTTTTAGGACAACTGGGGAATGATCGGAGTGTTCTCACAGAAGGGCAACAACGGAAGTGAATGGTTGAAAGTTTACAAAGTTCTTACATACCAAGAATCTATCAAGCTTGCTCATTTTAAACCCGTCGTCTTGAAGGTATGTGTATTTCCTACCACCGAGGTTGTATTCATGCAAACCCGCTTCAGCTATGAATTTGTTAAAGTCAGAGGCTGTATAGTGGCAAAATATGGAATTGAATCTTTCACCGGACTTTCTAACTACATTAAAATCACCTAGGAAAATCCATATGCCATCTGAACCTTTTTAAAGTTCAAGCAATTTCGCCCATGGATTTCTTTTGTCATTTATGGATTTGGGTCCATAAACATTTACTATGGTGGTGGTATCGGGAAATCCTTTCCAATGGCCTGAGGTAGCGATGAAATGTTTAGAGGATACTGTGTTTATTTTATGGAAGATTTTTTTATCCCAAATACTCATTAGACCTCCAGAATAGCCTGTTGGGTTAACAAAATCAAACTCAAATTTTGTAGAGTCCCAACAACCCGAAATGTCAATTGTGTTTAAATCTGATACTCTTGTTTCTTGTAACCCGATAACATTTGCCTTTTGTGATCTCTTCAACCTGTGAATCCATTCTATTTTGCGTGATTCACCAATCCCCCGAATATTGAAAGTTATGATATTCATTTGGGAACATTGTTGACACCATCTCCAAAGAAAACTTCTGCTAATAGTTCGCAATCTTTCCCAATTTGAAATCCAACTTCGCATCCTGTTCTAATTGCACTATTGACCTCGTAGGAGGAGGAGTTGACCTCAACTGTAGAATTGCTAGTAGAGGAATCCGAGATTGTGATGGTTTTATTGAGGTCAATTGCTGAAAATTTAGGGTAGGGAGCAGCAGGGGGCAGTGAACGGAATGGGAGGAAAAGGGGGAAATGAATCAAATATTTTCCTAGGGGTAATAGACGAGGGAATAAATTTGTCCACTTTACGTCTCTTACCTAGAGATTCTCCAAGCTCAAATCCTGGTGGGAATATTGTGTGTGCTTGTTTAACATAATCTGGAGTTTTGCTAGAGATAGGCGTTTTAAGAGTCCAGCCCAATTCTTGTGTTTCCAGCCCATTTTGAATTTATCCAAATGACTTGGTCACCAGGGTGGGTAATTCGTCCACAATTTTTTTACTGTTTATCTCATCTAGGTTGTTTTTGGGAACTGCCTCATCATTAATGTTGTCCGAGTTACGAGGAGACGTTACATTTTCCGCCTCAGACACGATTTTCCTATCCCCAAAGATCTTCGGTACCACATCTGCCGCCGGCGAGATCGTCATTGTATTATCCGGTGAGTTTTTATCAGTGTTCACATTGGATTCGATTTGAACAATTTCTCCCTCCTCCAATTCTTCTCCTTCTAGATTATTTTTCTGGGTATCAGAGATCCCGTCAGAGTCGTCGTCATCTTCAGAACCAGGCTCAGAGTCGTTCTCAGTGTAGTCATCATCCATCTCGGGGGCATTATCGTACTGGGGGGTTGCCGATAGATGGTAGAACGGGTGCCAATTGAAGTCATATTCAATGATTCTGGCCTTATAAGATTCATTTTTGTAATTACAAGTCACGGTTTCGTTGATCCGAGTGATTTCAGTCGTAAGAATACAAGTTGTACCGTATGAAAGATCCATATTCCCCCAATTACATCCATCAACTTGTAAAATCGTACCGAAGTTACTTGCAATCAGAGCGTAATTTTCCTCCGCCCTTAGATATATGGGGACCCCTGTGATTTTTATCCATCCAATTCTTTCATTGTTTGACTCGTTAGATACTTCATTCCTTATCCATTGAAACCATCTGTTCCAGTTATGTTCATTGCTAAGAAAATTGATTACATCAGTAGGGATATCAAATCTCAGTACAACCTTCATACCTCCTGCGTAAAAAAAATCTCCAATGACATGTTCCCGTCTGCCTCGATTAGTTTTGTGATTTCAGTGAGGATGTCTATATTGAGGACTTCCCCAATTAATGTTGAGTTATTCCATCCCACCATAGCTGGGACCGATTTGAGGTTTGCTGTGAAAGACGCTGCAATATTAGACTGTGTGGTATTTCTGGGTTTTCCTGCTACTTCAACATAAGTTTTGGTGTACCTGTTTGTTGCATGAACATTTTTGGGGATGAATGGAGGTGGATAAGACTGTTGAGTGGGTTGTTTGTTCATCCTACTGTTGTTTATCAATTTTCTACGTCTGGGATTTTCCTTGCCATATTTTGCTATGTTTACGTTGAGAATACAGTGCCCACATCTCACGTGTTGCATGGCCTGTTCCAGTTCCTTGGCATTTGCCACTCCTTTGAACTTGACGAAGCTGAAATAAGATCCTCTTCTGTCTTTTCTGCCCGGGATGTATACGTCTTCAATCTTTCCGAACTCCTTGAAAACTTCGTAGATGACCGATCTCTCAGTTCCGACTGGAATGTTTGTGATGTAGTAGGAGGTGATGACCGGAATATGCTTTCTCCGGCTGACTTCTGTCCAGACCCCACCCTCGTTCCCAGCGTGACCATCCGACTCCCTCATTTTGGACTAGAGGAATAAAATATGGATCATGAGGCTAAAAATAGGACTAAACATTGTCTAAATGCAACTCATTTTCGGTCTGGTCAAAAGTCAATGAGTTGGAAAGATACCCGTAAAATTTAAGGTCAATCATATAGTGTTTTACCTTCTGTCTAATCATGTGAAGAAGATTGTGCAATGCTGCCAAAAATTCAAAAATTCTTTTATATCGCTTCGTTTTTCTTTTTGATTACGAATCTTGCTACCGAATTTCATTCATAATCGTAGGACTTTCTATGTGGCTCTAACGATGCTCAAAAATACCATCTCGTGTATATAAATTTACACAAAAATACGTCAAACAAGTAAAAAATATTCAAAAAAATAAAATAAAATAAACCAAACGATTTAATGCAAAATATATATATATATATATATATATATATATATATATATATATATATATATATATATATATATATATATATATATATATATAATATGAGAAAAAAATCAAATGAATGTTAAAGACTTAAAGCTACAAGTATCTAAATTTGACTAATGCTCCAATCCAAATAAAATCGAAATAGTGAAAATATTCAAGCATCAGCTAACCATGCCATTATATGTATATACCGACTAAAAAGACTATTATAACTACACTAGAAAAAACGAAATGCATAAACAGTAACCTTATCCTAAACTTTGAGAAATAAAAAAATAAATATTCATTAACTAATCACTTGGTTCAGTATTTTAGTTTTTTTATCTTCAATTTTTTTATCTTTCATTTTTTTTAACATCAAGACTCCATAAACTATATACAATAGACTCGTATTCCTAAACAAAATCCTAATCGCTACATTTAACTTTTACATATTATCTCGCGATAATAATAATACTAGAGTTTTATTTTTAACAACTTTTCAAAATAAAACATCAAACAGAATATAAGACTTCAAACTTTATCAGGACATAAATTTTAATTGACTTCTAAAAACAAAATTAGACAAATATATAAACTTGACATGGCACAAATTTCAAAAGAGGCATAGATTTCCCATCAAATATGTTAGAAAAATTATACAAATTTTTTGAACGACATTACATTTTTGTGACATAGCCATAGGTTTTCAAAACAAATTAACACACACACATATATATATATATATATATATATATATATATATATATATATATATATATATATATATATATATATATATATATATATATATATTCAAATGTTTCTAACAACTATTGTGTTCCTGAATACACCAATAAAAAATTAGCAAATATTAAATAATTATTAAATTATTAAAGGATATAATAGTAATCTTTACCATATTTAATTTTGGTAATTATTTAAAATATTTAATATCCCTTTAAATAAGGATAATCAGTTTAAAACCCTACATTCACATTTGCATCTACCTTTACAATTGTTGATCTCTGTTCACGACTCCACTACCGACGTACAAATCAGACGACTCCGCCACCGCCACCACCATTCTTCTTCCCTGCGGCTACCGGCGCCGCCCTTTTGCCCTCAACCTATTGTAAAAAATAATATGTATATCTTCTTATTTCAACGTTTCCCTACACTGTGGTTTCTCCAAGTTTCGTCCCTACCACATGTCGTTGGACAAAAAAGGTACGTTGCTTCTAGTTATCTTTTCTATTTTTTTGCTTGGATCGATTAAAAATGATGAAGTTAGGGAGTTAATCATGGTATTTCGTAAGAATTTTTGTGGATCCATATAATGGAACACATCTATTAGAGTGGTAAACTTGAATTCGAGTGTTTCCTTACTTGCAAATATATTTATTTTACTTGAATTTCAAATTATTATGTTACTTTCTAGAATTAAAGAACTCCTAGATTTTTCAATTGTTTAATTGTTTGCTTGTGTGGGTTTAAGTTTCATCCGTACTAAAAATTCATATAAAAGTTTATTAGTATTTGTTTCTGTAACCTAAATGGTTTGGGAGTTTAACAATTAGATGTATAAATCAGATTTTTGATTGTATTACTTTGCTGAAATCTGAAATTAGATGTTGTAATTAGATGATGAATTAAGAATTCTTGAACATTCATTGCTAAAATTGGAACTTCATAGTTGTTTTGCTTACGAAAGTATAACAATTATTAGCCAAATAAAAATCGTAGGTGAGGATAATTTCTGGTTAAAACTTTGTAAGAATACATTAGGCTTGGTATGTACACAATATAGTGTATTTTGTAAGAATACATTATGCTTTGTATAGTATATTCTGTTGGAATAAACTACATCTCAAAATTAAATATATTGTGTTTTATATTTTACTTTACTTTAAGCAAAAAAAAAAAAGACAATGCTCATGCTGAATGTATAGTTTGATCCTTGAGTAAATTTATTCACTCTAAAATCCATAGTTGGTCATTATTGTGGGAAAATAATGGAATAAGACTAATATGAATTATATTGGTTTCCAAATTGTTGCAATTAGGTTCATAGTTACTTGCTAGAGAACAAGTATTGGATTAACCCGTTCAAGATCATTTCATGGATCGCTGTCATGAATGACACTTGATAAAGGTAACATCTTTGTATCCTTAACACCTGAGATACATATTTAGGACTTAAGTATGGGAAATGTTATGCTTTAATATGATCAATGTTGTTTTTTAATCAAGCATTTATAAAGGCTATCATTAGGTATGATGTGACCCATGTAGAGGCATATGTATTCGAGATGCGATTTGTTTCTCTCATTCGTTGAGAGTTAGACATCTAAGACATTATCTAAATTTGAACACTTATATGAGATTGTCTGCGATCTGTATCTCATGTTCATCAGAATATTCTTAGCAAAGGGGTAATTGATGACTTACCTGATACATCAATTGTAGCTTTGATCTTTTAGGGAATTGGATGTTGATGAATGACACTTCGCCGTCTGTTATTGGGGGTAGTGAAATGTTGCTAGATGTATACCACTGTTTAATATTAGTTCAAAAGGAAATTTGCGCAAGTAAGAGATTGAAAGATCTTTTATGCTCCAAGATCATTATGAAATGATATTCACTAATATCATATGATCCTATAGGGTCACATCATATAACAAGTAAACACTAATTGATTATTTATTAAGTAATATGATTATTAATAAATTAAATCATCACTTGAAATTAATCAGGGAGTTATTGCTTTATGAAAGTAATAATTATTGTAACATACATAAAATATGGTCCCAAAATTTTCATTTTTAATTATTAAATAAAACCATAGTTATCAAAACACTCTGTCAAAACCAGTCAAAGTATTCAAAACATCACAATCTGAATATCATATCAAAAACATCAGAGTAACATCCCACACTAAAACATCATAGTGTGTGCAATGCAGTCATCCCAAGCTCTCCCCCTGCTAGCAGAAGTACCTAAAACCAAAACTGAAAACCGTAAGCACGAAGCTTAGTAAGTCTCCCCATACTACCACATACCATAAACATAATCACATATAGTGGGCCGCGCCCGACATCGGATTAGATCCGGTGTCGGTCCCCGCCCCGCATCGGACAGTGTCCGGCATCGGGGCCCGCCCGTCATCAGCTGAGTTCGGTATACATATAACATACCAACAATACACAAATAATGATCACAGAATACAAGCATACAAACATTCCTCGGGCACCGCCCGACATCGGACCGAAATCCGGAAGCATATAAACATTCATCGGGCACCGCCCGACATCGGACCGAAATCCAAAAACATACAATAGAGACACATGCGAGAATCACGAAGACATCAAGCATACAACTATTCCTCATGTGATAGCCCGACATCAGAACTTAATCCAGAAAACATATAAACATTCATCGGGCACTGCCCGACATCGGACCGTAATCCGGAAAACATACAATCATATATACGGGCCGGCATTGGTGCCTTAGACCCATTCAAACAAGAGGAAACTCACCTCAGAAGTTAATCAGAACTGATAATGCCCGACTCCGAATCTTAGCTCTCTACTCAAGGCCTACATTCACCAAGTGATCAATCCATCAAAAATCCCGAAATTACCAAAATACCCTCAGAAGTCAAACTTGGTCAACCATGGTCAAAGTCAAAGTCAAAGTCAACAGTCAATGTCAACAGTCCATGTTGAACCAACTCGACGAGTGCATCTATCAACTCGTCGAGTTCCTCCAGTGTTCAGAAAGCCGGGGAAAACCCTAGTCAACCCGCTGAGTTAGCAGAACAGCTCGTCGAGTTCCTACAATATCCAAAAAAAGGGAAAACCCATTCCAACTCGTCGAGTTGTCAGGAAAACTCGTCGAGTTTTCCCAGTCTTAACATATTCAACCCCTTTTTCTTGAATCTAAAGCCCCAAACTATAGATCTGGTCCCTTAGGACTAAAATACCACGTAAAGTTGCTAATTTTACATCCATGCATGGCATCAAGGGGCTAAAACACTAAAACTAAGCTTCTTAAGGGACCTAGGGCATGAAGGAGGGCCAAGACTTAATAAAGCTGGCAACTTTAAGTCCCAAGAGGCCCTGAGATGTCTAGATCTGAAGTCATAGCTTCATGACATGCTCAAATCCTGAAATGAATCCAATATGAACCAAAAATGACAAAATGCTTCCATAGGAGAAGATCTAAGTAATAAAAGGCCAAGGTATCGACTTTATACCTCAAAATGGTTGCCACAATAGAGAAGATGTCGAATCTAGAGCTTCTCCCTTCAACTTTGCACCACCAACTACAATCTCCTTTAAAAAATCACCAAGGAATCACTCTTTAACTCACACACACTCAAAATGGGAAAGGAGGCTCGATTTAGGGTTTTACTGGACTGAGGGAACGATGAGGGAGGCCACATTGAAACATTAAGGTCTTTAAATAGGATGCAAAACCCTGAAAATTAGGGTTTCATTTCTGCCAGCCTACTCGTCGAGTTGAGGCCTCCCAACTCGTCGAGTAGGTTCCTCAAACACGCGGTCCATAACGTCTCTACTTGACGAGTTTGGGG